AGACTTTGGGGTCCTGTTTACCAGTGAGGAGATAAAACTGTGTAGCTGCTGTTGCAATGCTCTGCACTGATCTGCTGTGGTGAAGAGAGAGCTGAGCAAGAAGGCAAAGCTATTTGATTTACTGTCCGTCTTTATTCTTACTCTCAACTATTGTAATGAAATCTGGATTATGACCAAAAGAACAAGATCCCAGTTACAAGCAGCTGTAATTAGCTTTCTACCCTGTGTAGGCGGATTCTCTCTTAGAGATAGGGTGCGGAGCTCAGTGAGTCAGGAAAGGCTGGGAGTAGAGCAGCTTCTTCTCCATATCAAGACAAGTCTGCTCAAGTGGCTCAGATCAAAGCCTCTTCCTCTCTGATTTTTCGCACTATCAACCCATCCAGCTACTAAAACCAGAATACAGTTGAATTAATTTTGATTGGGAGATTGTTAATAGAAATTGATGTGCTCATTTACTCCTCTGTTTAGATGTTCGATCACCCATATGGCTCTCTACCAGAGTCCTCCTCACTAATATCTTTAGGCTTCGGACTCCTTGAGAATACTGGGCCTGATTAGTTTAAAGTTCTGCATTACCACCAAATAAGTCGATATGATTTCCTTCTTTTTGTTCACAACTATCCATACTTCTGAGGTATTAATAGTTTAACAATAAAGAGATTACACAGTTTTTATTTTTCTCTATTATTTTCTTATGCCCATTTTTGGCTTATATTGCGAAATCTGACATTTTGGCAGAGAGGAAGAGAAAATAATCCAAAGAAGACTAAAACTTCAGCTTCTTTGATGAACCATAAAAATCAGGCCCACCAACCGTTCTACAGTTAAGGCGATTCAAGGCCAGATAATGGCAGTAAACTGGTGATGCGGTGCATGGGTCAGTGTGGTGGGAGGAGTTCCTAGATTAGCGCTTCTCTATCCTAATCCTAAAGGCACACCGCCCTGCATTTTTTAGATATTTTAGATATACGCCTGTTAATCTGCCATCAATTGATGCCAGGTGTGTTACAAGATGGGAAAAATCAATCACATGCAGGGCAGTGTGCCTTGAGGACCAGGGTTGAAAATGTCCTAGATGAACTATGCTGTGTGATGTTCACTTTATCCGCCTCATAAAAAGAAACAGGAGAATCTCTCATTTCAACCCAAACTGTTAATTATTTAGAACATTCAATAAAACGCAACATATTCAATGGGCAACAATTAAACTGATAATTATTGACAAAATTATGACTAAAGCTGAGCAATTAATTATAACGGCAATTAATAAAACACAATTTTAAAATTGCAGCAACATTACAATTTGGTTACATTTCATTAAACCAGACACTGACTTTTTCACTCCAGGACTTTATGTATGGAGGACCAGCTCTACCATATTTTAAAATAAATACATGCTCAATAAATAAGCATACAATTAATTGCCAATAATGCATAAAGAAATGTAAAAAACGACAGGCAGGAATAAATGGGGTAAAAAAAATACAAAGAAAGAATAAAACAGACAAAAATATAATTTACAAAAAATACTTAAAAAAATAAGTAATTAATAAATAAAGTTGATTATAACAAACAATAAATAAATAAGGTAATTATTACAAAGGCGAATAAATAAAGAAGCTAATTAAAAGAGATATATACATTAAGTCTGACTTTATGATTTAATTTCTTGTAATTTATTGTATTTTTGGGGAAAATCAATTGTATGCTTATTTATTGAGCATTTTTTTTATTTCTGTATTTTTAAATAAGGTAGAGCTGGTCCTCCATATTTAGGTGGTGCTGATACTTTTAAAGTGGTTTAGCCACCATGCAGAAGGGAAGTGAAAGTTGCAGCTTTTAAGGTAACGAAAAAAAAAATTTAAGTCTGGAGCGAAAACCTCTACATGCCTGTGGTCCAAATAAAAATTGCAACATTAATATAGGTTGGATGATCACAAATCTTTAAAATTTTATATTTTTTTAAGTTCTTCAGCCCCAATTGCGACCAATATTGTCACCCAGACTAGTCTGTAGTTGTGCTGCCATTTTGCATTCTGACACATGCATTACGTCACTGATATCAACTTCTTCCAAAATTAGAAGTACAGTAGTTCTTCGTTGTGACTGTACCATGTGGGCCACCCTTTACCCCACTCATTAAACTGTTGCCGGTGTTCTGCCAGCCCAGCATGCCGCGTCAGGCCAGCATACCCTTAGTAATACTCATTACATAGACAGTCCATGTCTGCTCTCCTTACAGCCAATCGCGCCGTTTTATTTCCTGATTTAGTCAGGTTTTTGTCATATTTTTGTGCATAAAACAACAAAAAACTATTTTAATAGATCCACTACATAATATCTTTTAAAAAAAAACATTGCATGTCCGTTTGACGAGGATCTTATTAAAGAATGATCTGCTCTTTTTCACAGAGAATTAAATATTTATAGGGAGAGGATTCTTTAACTCAGTTGACAGAATATGCAATTTCTTTGTTTTTAGTTTGTTTAATATAAGCGACATGCAGATCATTTTATTTGTATTTATTTGTTTTTTTATATTTATAGTACTACTGAAATTAACAGATTAAATTAAGCCTACTGGCACAATCTAAAGCCATTCAATGGGACTGATAACCGCTAATGGATGCATACTAGGACTCTTGCTTCTGCAAAAGTAACTATGGCAACAAAACTTTTTACCTGCTGCCTTAAAATAATTAACTATCAATCATTGTTATGAAGGCATGTTTAGTCCAATAAACTTTAGTTTTAAGTGTTAAATTAAATTTAATGCCAGATTAATACACCGTTAGCAGTGAAAACCTCATGATCCTTTTAGCTCTAATGCAACAAAACCTAAAAATATCCCTTAGATTTAGAATTAGTTTTATAGTAAAACATCCGAAAACCACTTGTTCACAATGTCTTAAGTGTCTGAAACAGAAAACAATACCAGAAGGGTTGCGTTACTTAAACTATTGGTTGGAATAAGCTACACAAAATAATTAAAAAATATATATAATTGATGGGTACAAAGATTAAAAACCAGCAACCAATGGATTTGGTTATGCGATATAAATATTCTTCATCGCTCACTAAAACATGATTTAGTTTAATTTCTATATTGGATCTCAGGACCCCATGCTTGTTGACCCCTGAAACCAACAGGGGTCACGCAGGGGCGGAGCTAGATGACACCCCTGGCCCCCCATCTAGCATGTGTCTATGGCCCCTACCATTTTTTCCCCCTCAAATACAGATGGTGGCAGCAGTAATGTTCTCGAGTGGAATACTCAAATATACACTTCAATATACTAACATTAAAGATGATAAGTACAGAATTCATAACCTGATTCCGCATATCCATCTGGAAACCTTCCGTTGAAGTAATTTTGGGAAGGGGCGAAAATACTGGTTAGCTGATTGGCCTATGTTGGTGATAGACGGGCCAAATAAACCAATCAGATCAACGAAGCATATGACGTACTAACAGAGCGACGACGAAAACACAACCACTAGCCAGGCTACTCTTGCCGAAACCAGTCGGGAGAAGAGCAAAAACATCTTTTCCTCTGAGAAAAGCCTCCAGAGCAGTGTTTTGCTCTTCTTTCAGTGAAGAAATACTCTGTAATTCTGATAAAACTTGCTCGATCGCCACGCTAACGCTAGTTTCATCTGCTGAAGCCGCCATGTTCTTTAGACTGAACTGTCGCGCTTCTCGTTGCGTCACACCTCAACCCGCCTCAAAGCCAACACTGATTGGACGTCGCTTGGTGAACGGCTCCAAATTTTCTTTAACGGAGAGTCTCCAGACTGATCTGCGAGTGAAACCTTGAAAGTTCGCGAGATCAGGATGGTCTCACGAGGCTACAGAATTCATGCTGTTTTCAGAACTAGATTCTGTGTTATATGGGGTAAAGAGAGTCTAAGAATCTTCAGTGAAATCAAAGATAAAATAATTTTTTTTATAAAAACTTATCAAATAATCAATTTATGTATATATTTGTGCTTGTAAATATCAATTTTACACAGAATATTTATGATACAAGTAGGTAAATAATGACAATGGAAAAGATTAACGCCCCAGAACTCAAAACTGCCTTCTATCTAGAAATAACAGATGTTTAAATATATGTGTCTATTTGTGAGCAAAGGCTGTAGGAAAGTATATTTGTCTTTATTTCCAAAATATGGATGTTTTTCTTCTTTATTTTCTAGTTGGAAGAGTGAGGAGTTGACGCTGAGGTTCTGGTGCCTATCCGCTTTCGGCCACCCCTCAGTGTACATTGGTTATTGCCTGGCCACCCTTATAAAAAATTCCTGGCTACGCCCCTGGGGTCACGACCCTGACCTTAGGGAATAGATGGTTTATCCTACCAGATCCAACTTCTTTTGTTCTAATACAACATAAGGACAAGAAGAGAGAAGGGAAAAACCATGTGTGTACTTTGAAAGAGGTGATACTTTGGAATCAAGAGGAAATGTAAGTAATCCGCTGGTTTATCTGGTTTTCTTTTTTATTTTATTTTTGGTCCTACATATGAGGACAAACTGGTAACCAGTCCCTGTTTTCTAGGAATTTAATAAAGTGAAAGCTTGGATGCTTTCTAACAGAGGAATGTTTTCCGTGTTCGTTAAATGCCTTTGTGTTGTCTTTGCGGTGGGATGGTTTTCATTGTGGGCGGTTCGTTTGGACTCGAACCGAACCTCCATCCAGCCACGTAAGCATCCCAACATTCAGCCGCCTGATGCAACAATTTCTAAGCTTACAGAAAGAAAAAGCTGCTGTCCTCAGAGGTTACCTCCTCCTCAGCGTCTAAAGCGGCTTTTTTCACTCCAACTGTTTAACGGTTGGTGTGAAGGAGACGCACGCGCGCCAAAGGTGTCCATCACTTCCAGACAAGATGAGCGGAACAGGAGCTGCTTCTAACTTCTGACAGCTGACTCTAACAGGGCACAGCAGCCCCCCGGCCCCCACCTCAACCTGTCAGCTCAACTTCAAAGAGCCGCACACTCACCGATGATGATAGCGCACGCGCTCAGGAGTCCGATTTCCTTTTTCAGGGTAACTTTGTCATCGTTGTTGGCGTTTTCATCCTTCCTTCTCTTCTCATTGTCACCCATCTCTCCCTCTGTCTCGCCGGTTTGCTTCCTCTTCCCCTCAGTCCGGTTCAGTTACTGTAGACTGAACCACGCTGCACGCGGCCGCCCGGATGCGCTTATTATATTGAGTAGATGAGGGGCGGGGGGGCGCGCATGCGTCACAACCTCCAACTTTGTTTCAGGTAGACGTTGATGTAGAGAGGTGTCAGAGCATCTGAGCATAGAAACAGATCAAAGACAAGGTATTTGCCTTAGGCTGCCTGGAAGAGGATTAGGCCACTGGAAAAAAAAAATTAAATGTTATGTTTGTTTAATATGTGAAAAAAGTCAGAATTCTGAATTTGATCTCAGAACTCTGACTTTATTCTCAAAATTCTGAGATATTAAAAAGTCAGAATCCTGAGATTAAAGTCAGAATTTTTTAGATTAAAGTCAGAATTATGAGAAGAAAGTCAGAATTCTCGGATTAAAGTCAGATTTCTGAGAAAAAAGTCAAAATTCTTAGATTAAAGTCAGCGTTATTAGAAGAAAATCAGAATTCTCAGATTAAAGTCAAAATTACAACAAGAAAGTCAGAATTCTCAGATTAGAGTCAGAATTCTGAGAAAAGAGTCAGAATTCTGAGAAAAAAGTCAAAATTCTCAGATTAAAGTCAGAATTCTCAGATTAAAGTCAGAATTATTAGAAGAAAATCAGAATTCTCATATTAAAGTCAAAATTACAACAAGAAGGTCAGAATTCTCAGATTAAAGTCAGAATTCTCAGATTAAAGTCAGAATTATTAGAAGAAAATCAGAATTCTCATATTAAAGTCAAAATTACAACAAGAAGGTCAGAATTCTCAGATTAAAGTCAAAATTGTGAGAAAAAAGTCAGAATTCTGAGAAAAAAGTAAAAAAATTCAGATTAAAGACAGAATTCTCAGATTAAAGTCAGAATTCAGACTTTTATCCAATATTAAACTGGAATGATATTTAAAAATCTGTTAACTTTTTTCTTTTTTCCAGTGGCCCTAATTCTCCCCTGTAAGATTGACAGTTTAATATTCTCTTTTAAAATATAGTTGGTTTTAACCCATCCCCCCAAAAAAGTCACTTGCCCTAACATGATAAAAATCCAAAGAGCAGCTCTGAAAGAAATTCCTGAAAAACACAAGACCTCAGAACCTTAATGCTGATACAGGGACTTACATTTTAGATGAATACTTAGCTTATAACATTTTAATTTAGCTTCTTAAGTTCTTAACATAACCTTTTTTTTTCACTTAATTTAACTCTAGATAGGAAATGATTAATCCACTTAGAACTTTTTGTTTCACACTTTCTCCAAAAATCAAGTCTTTATTTGTAGATTTTAGTGTTGTTTAATGTGGAAAACCAACCAAACTTTGTTGGTACTTGTAAAGGTAAAAAAAAAAAGATTCTTGATTTTCTAAATCCTTAAGATAAAGGCTGTGTGTATTTTCAGGTCTGTACTCCTTAAATGCCTAAAGTTTGACAATAATGCCCTTCTTCTATGCAGTTATATAGGTAATACAGCTTTTAACAAAAAATTGTTAAATTAATCTGCCAGAAAGCATCATAGTAGACTCAGTTGTTATACATGACAAACAGAATATAGCTAAGCAGTTTAATGAACACTTTGTCTCAACTAGCTCTGGTCCTGTTACCTCTCTTTCTGATCCAGTATCTGTAAACTTAGCCGCCAATGATGAACCTCTCCCATCAGCAACTCCTCAATCCAAATTTGTCCTACAACCCATTTCTATTGATGCAACTAAGAAAGCACTTATGACCATAGACCATAAAAAGTCCCCTGGGCCTGATGGATTTGACCCTTATCTCCTGAAGTTCGCGGCAGAGTTTATTGCAGAGCCTATTGCTCACATTTTTAATCTAAGTATACAATTAAACTGTATTCCAAAAATTTGGAAAGCTGCTTACGTTTTACCTCTACTAAAAGGAGGGGAGCCAACTGACCTGGATAACTATAGACCAATATCAAACCTGTCAGTACTTGCTAAAATACTTGAATCTCAAATCAACTCCCAAATAAAACAGTTCCTTACAGTCAACAACCTCCTGTGTGAAACTCAGTCAGGCTTCAGAGCAGGTCACAGTACCATGACAGCTGCTGTGTCTGTTTTAAATGATTTAATAAATGCCTTAGACAAAACACATCATTGTGCCGCCCTTTTCGTGGATTTGTCTAAGGCATTTGACTCTGTCAACCACCAACTACTTTTAGCCAGACTCTGCAAGCTTGGAATAAGTGACTCTGCCATAGAGTGGTTTAAAAACTATCTCTCAGACAGAACACAATGTATCTACGTGGACGGACTTAAATCTGACTTTTTGGAAGTGACTAAGGGAGTTCCTCAAGGTTCAATTTTGGCACCTGCCCTGTTCACTATTTTTATAAATGACATTGGAAATAACTTGAAATCTGTTAAATTTCACCTCTATGCTGATGACACCATAATATATTCAATTGCCTCTTCAGTTAACAATGCCTTGAATGATCTTCAGTCTGCTTTCCATCAACTTCAGGTCTCCCTAAATCAGCTGAAGTTGGTCCTAAATGTAAAAAAGACAAAATTCATGATATTCTCTAAAGCTCGCTCCCAAAACTCACAGCATCACGGCATTAAGACCTTAAGTGGAGAAGCAATTGAGATTGTGTCCTGTTATAAGTACCTGGGTATCTGGATAGACGACAAATTGTCTTTCACAACACATTTAAATAATATGTTAAAAAAGCTGAAAGCCCTGCTCAGCTTTTACTACAGACACCAATCCTCTTTGATTCCCTCAGTGAGGAAAAGACTTTTTCAGACCACCTTCCTTCCTGTTCTGGACTATGGAGACATCATATATATGAACGCTGCCTCCTCAGCTCTCCACTTCCTGGACATAGTTTATCACAGTGCTTTACGTTTCATCACCAACTCTGCCTTCCGGACTCATCATTGTGAACTGTATGCTCTGGTTTCATGGCCCTCCCTAAGCCTCAGAAGACAACATCATTGGCTTACTTTTATTTACAAGGCCATCCTGGGTAAACTCCCTCCATACCTGTGTCACCTCATGTCTGTAGCTAACAGTGGTTACAACTCACGCTCTTCAAGTCGTGTTCTTTTCACTACTCCCAGGATCAACACAAACCTTGGCAAAACATCATTTTCCTATGCAGCACCATGGTCGTGGCACAATATTCAAAAATCCCTGCAATTACGGACTCTAAGGCTACGTTCACACTGCAGGCCTTAATGCTCAATTCCGATTTTTTTGTGAAATCGGATTTTTTTTGAGTGTCCTTTCATACTTCCAAGTATATGCGACTTGTATGTGATCTACTGTGTGAACTGAAAGCGTTCAACCGAAGTGTCCCTCATGCGCACTCGAGGACGCGATGACGTCACACGTAGCAAGCGTCCTCAGTGTTTGCGGAAGTAAACATGACTCGTAATACCGCAGCGTATATTGCCTTCTTTAAGTTCTTCTCCAACAGGAGCAGGCACATTACGAACGAAATCTTTTTAAGAAGATCAAAAAGAAAGACCCTCCCCCAGTTCCGGTAAGACCCTTCGAGTTTGGTCTGAATCGAGCTATCTTTCCAAATATGAATTAAGTCAGCAACCTCACTTTCTCTCCATTGACTGCTCTCTGTGTTATCTTCCGCCATGGTTGTTAGTTTTTCCCGCCTCCGCTTAGTAGGACGCAGATTAGTAACGTTTAGTAACATTTGTCAAGTATCAATGACGTGTAGGTCGGATGAATGCGACCTGGCCGTACAGACACAGGTCGCATTTGAAAAGATCAGATACGTATCGGATTCAGGACCACATATCCAAGTGGCCTGGGTCGCATTTGAAAAAATCCGATCTGTGTCTTTCAGACTGTCATAAAAAGATCTGATACAGGTCACATATGGGCAAAAAAATCGGAATTGGGTCACTTCAGGCTGCAGTGTGAACGTAGCCTTATTCCGCTACAGCATTTTAAATCACTATTGAAAACCGCTTGCACAGAGAATTGTAACTGTTATTCTAGAGTCTAGTTTATGATTGATTTTAATATGTTGTTTTTAATGTGTTTTTATATGTCTTATTGTACTGCTGCCCCTTGGCCAGGTCTCCCTCGAAAAAGAGATTTTATCTCAAGGGACCTCCTGGTAAAATAAAGGTAAAATAAATAAATAAAATAATACTTTTTTTTTTTTTTTTTTTGACAACTAAAAATGTTTCAACAAGTTCCGTACTGTGGGTACTGTGGGAGCACAGTTAGTTTGATCAGAGCATCTTGGAGTAACGGTAACCTCTGCAATATTACGGTAATTAGAACTTTTGCTCACATTTGCTTTTTCTGCACTTTGAGTAACCAGGAGAGCACAGATGAAATAAACAAAGAAATGGTTTATTCCATTAATAACAGCTAGCAAAAACGATAAGGCCCCATAGCAAGTTTTCATGAACTACTAAATGGCCTAATCGATTTCCACCCTTAAATCTAATTGTGATGACTTAGAAGACACTTCAGCAGCCAGGCATTGACGTGAAAACCTTGTGTTTAGTTGATGTAAAGCGATTCTGTAAAAAACTGCACAATATAATTTTAACAGTAATGTTTAAGATTCACTGCCAGTTATCAAATATTGCCTTGGTTTGGAAAGCTTTTTCTGACATAAATAAATAAATTTCTATTTTTTCTAGTCATCTTTGCGCAACATGTTTGGTGTCCTAAGACATTAAGTTGTTAGAAAAAAGCAACAGAAACGATATTTTTTAGGAAGCTAATATAATTTTGATAGCGCTTTGTATCCTTTGAAGGTCAATGGCGTAATCACTGGCCAGGAAAGCAGGTCAAGCATGTGGAGCACTAATCCTGTGCAAGCAACTACGGCAGCACATTTAAACCCGAAGCAACTACGGCCAGGGGTGGATTTAGGAAATTTGGGGCCCTAGGGAAAGACAATACATAAAACAGACCCATTATACAGATACGGAATTTTTAGTAGGATAGACATCCATTATTTGTTCTAGGTTTTGTCCCTCTCTTCTTGTCCCTTTTCTTCTTGTTTTCCTCTCCATGTTTTGTACTCAGCTGACTTTTCATG